ACAATCTAAGAGTTAGCAGATTAAAAGAGAGTGAAAAGGAGAAAATTAACTAATGAAAATTTCATACATAATTTTGGTGTGATGCTTGGAAAAAAATAATGTTCTTATTGTGCTTATAGAAAACTCTACATAAAGGGTTAAATAGAAAAATAAAAGGAACTTATCAATCAGAATCCTTATGCCTTAGTAAAATTAACATGTTTCTATAATGTTTGGTGTTTTTCAAAGTATGTTTACATGTGACTCCATGTTTGAAACTCATCATAATTGTGAGATATTGGTAGAGTAGAAGCTACTATCTATTTATTCATTGAGGAAACCAACAAGTCAATGATTTGTCTGAAAGTAAATGTCCTGCTTTCCTTAAAGACATTATGTCTAGGAGTGAGGTGCATAAGATTTGCCACATATTTTATATTTCATTGCAATAAACCTAATGATAGTCAATTCCTTCCTGGTCAAACACCTGTAATCAAAATACAAGAGTATTCTTGGCAATGGGTCGTTAAAAAGAATTTTAAATTCATAGATTTTTCTACTGTTTTCTATTGCAGATTTCAATGAAATGGAAAAATTACTGGTCTTGGCTTTCAGTATGTACACACACACACATATTTACATGTCTAAAAGAGCTGAGCACTACTGAACTCTTGAGCAGAGAAGAAAAGGTGGCACTAAGATGGACCTAAATGTAAATATATAAGAATGCTCATTTCTTAAATTAACTTGCTTGTCTTTCAAGTAGCTTATAAAGCAGAATAAATCACTGAGTATATTTGGAAATAACCATTTGTAAATGTGGATAATGTCAATAATACCTACTCTAGCTACTTTCCTCTATAAATACATTTCTGAAAGAGCAGTAGTAATAATGACAAACCATGCCTAACAGCATCTTTAAAATTCTATTACATTCTTTAGCTTCTGACACTACGTTACTCTTGAAAGGAATAAAATAAAAGTAATATAAAATTATCTGGACTTCTTTATAGATGGAATAAATTTGCATAACATGGTGGTTGAACTTTACAAATTGAATACATTCCTCCATAATTATCATGAAGAATACATAAGTTCAATTTATTCTTTAACCTACCTTCTTCTGAAATGTAAGCTTTGATAGGGTACAATTTCAATTTGAAGCATTATTATTATTATTATTTTTTGTGAGGAAGATCAGCCCTGAGCTAACATCTGCCAATCCTCCTCTTTTTTTGTGTGTGTGTGAGGAAGACTGGCCCTGGGCTAACATCCGTGCCCATCTTCCTCCAATTTATATGGGACACCGCTGCAGCATGGTGTGACAAGTGGTGTGTCAGTGCGCGCCCGGGATCCAAACTGGCAAACCCTAGGCCGCTGCAGCGGAGCGCGCGTACTTAACCACTTGCGCCACCGGGCCGGCCCCAGCATTATTATTTTGAAAAAGCTTCATTTGAATATTTTTTCATTTCAGTTGGTCTGACAAAGACTCTCATAATTATCTTACAAGCCAAATTAAGAAATGTGGGTGGGAAGGAGGCAGGGTTCAAACATATTTGTACATGAGATGATGCTCATGCCCCAAGAATATCCATGGTAGCCTTTGCTGGTGTTCCATAGAGTTGTCAGGCCCTGTTCTATTCAGAATTTATTAATGATGTGAATGAAGACTTAGAGAGTAGGCTTATTAAATTTTAAGGTGACATAAAGCTGGGAGTTATTTCACTGGGAAAAAAACACAATAGAATGGTATTAGGGACTAAAATCCAGAAGATGAACTCTAACAATGACAAGGACCAAGGACTACTCTGTGATTCAAAGAGGCAAGCACACAGCAACAGGATGGCTGAAGATCTGACTTGGCAGGAGTTTTCATTAAAATGAGAGGAGGAGCATTGAATTGACTGCATGTCAGTAAATGTCAAAAGTGTGATATCATCGTACACTTAAAAATTTGTTAAGAGGATAGATCTCAAGTTAAATGTTCTTACCACACAAGATTTAAAAAAAGAAGAAGAAGAGAAAGGTCTGCCACAGGGGGAAGAATTCAGATGTAATGCTCTTGACCCAGCCTCACCCACCTGGCTCCATAATTTCCATGTCAAACCTCCCTATACCTAGGGAGTATAAGTTTTTTTGGAGTTGAAACTAAAAATCTGTTTATTATTATAATTTTTCTACTTTGGGTTATAGTTGACAATTAAAAATTGTATATATTTAAGCTGTACAATTTGATGATCTGATGTACATTGTGAAATATTCACCACAGTCAAGCTAATTAACAAACCCATCACCTTACATAGTTACCTTTGTGTGTGCATGTGTGTGGTGATCTTAAGCTCTACCCTTTTAGCAAATTTCAAGTATACAATACAATATTAACTAGTCTCATTGTTGTACATTAGATCTCCAGAACTTACTTACCTTGTATAACTAAAACTTTGTACCCCTTGACCAACATCTCCCCATATCCCCCTCCTCCCAGCCCCTGGTAACCACCATTCTACTCTCTGTTTCTATGAATTTGACATTTTTAGATTCCACATATAAGAAGAATATGCAGTATTTGTCTTTCTGTGTCTGGCTTATTTCACTTAGTGTAACGTCCCCCAGGTTCATCCATGTTATCACAAATGGCAGGATTTCCTTCTTTTTCAAGGCTGAATAATATTCCATTTATTGTGTGTGTGTGTGTGTGTGTGTGCGCGTGTGTGTGTGTGTGTGTAATCGCATTTTCTTTATCCAATCATCTGTCAATGGACATTTGGGTTGTTTCTATATCATGAGAGTTCAGACATCTCTTCGAAATACTGATTTCATTTCCTTTGGATATATACCCAGAAGTCAGATTGCTGGGCCATAGTTCTATTTTTAATTTTTTGAGGAAGTTCCATGCTATTTTCCACAGTGGCTGCACCCATTTACATTTCCACCAACAGTGCACAAGTGGTCCCTTTTCTCTACAACCTTTCCAACATTTGTTATCTCTTATCTTTCTTATAATAGCCATTCTAACAGGTGGGAGGTAATATCTCATGGTGGTTTTGATTTGCATTTCCTTGATGATTATTGACATTGAGCACCTTTTCATGTATATACCTGTTGGCCACTTGTATGTATTTTTTTGATAAATGTCTATGCAGGTCTTTTGCCCATTTTTAAATTGGATTGTTGGTTTTTGCACTGTTGAGTGCGTGAGTTCCTTATATATTTTGGATGTTAACTAGGGATATGATTTATCACTCAGTCTCCAGGAAGGGGTAGTTATTAGGAGGAAAAGGTTTTGGGGATGCTGAAGACAGAAATTAATTCAGAAACATGGTCCTAGATGCAATAGACATCTTGGCCATCACTGTGAGACGACAGAATAAGAAACTTGGAAATTAACTTCACAAGGCCATTTCATCTAGTCCTCTGCCCCCAGTTGGTTAAATGCTTAAGGCACCCTCAAAAGCATAGATCTAGGGAAGTAATTTTTTTCCCTGAGACTATTTAAAACTTTGATCAGGTGGACTGATGAACTCTTGGATAGAGAGGGGCTGAGAGCTGAAGGGGAAGCTGCAATTGTACACAGAGGTGTTGAGGGGAGAACCTAAATATAACTACTTTGTAAACAATTTCAAAACATGAGCATAGTTCTGCTCACTAGCAATGTGTCCCATCCAAGTTGCTTAAACACCTGAGTTTCTCCCTGAGGATTACAGTAGAACCCACCTCATACAGCCATTGTGAGGAATGAATGAAATAATAAATATGAAGCATTTGGAACATTACAGGTAGTGCATAAATGTTAGCCATTATTCACCAAGCTTTTCCTTTAATTTCTTAGCCATCCAGACTTATTAAGCCTTTCTGTCTTCAACAAATTGGCCGTTGGGAATAAAACTGGACATAGAATTATATAAACTGAAACTTGGATATCATCCAGTTCACTTTTTCCAAATCAAATCTTCATTGTAACACCAAAAAAACAATAACTGAAAACAGAGGTGCTCTAGCAGAAGGAGTTAGTTAAACGAAAGCTGAAGCAGTGGCTCAGTCTCAGGCCGCGATAGAAGTACATGACTCTGGTGCAGGGCATCCTTGCCACGTTTCCCCTGCCCTAAATAAGACCAGATATGTTCAGCCCCATTCCTGACACCTCCAGAAGGTCCATGAGTGTTTTCTGGGAAAGACCACCAGCATGTTAGGGGGTCAGGAATCCATACAAGAGAAAGCGTTAAGAGGACTGGGATTTTATTAACTCGGTAAAAGGCAAGCCAGTGTGAAATACACCACTAGTCCTCAAATATTTGAAGAACCCTTCTGTATCTGAGGCAACAGACTACTTGCCAGAGGGCACAATGGGGAATAATAAATAAAAATGACTAAGAAACAGATTTTGTGTTAATACACCGGGACGGTAAAAGCGAACATGGGATCTGGAGTCAGAAGCCCCAGATCAAAGTCCTGGCTGCACTTTTTATCAGCTCTTTGACTTTAGGCAAGTCACCTAAACTCTGAGTCACACAATCCTCATCTATAAGGTAACAGAAGTTAATAATCATACGAGGAAAAAAAAACACAAAATATTTTGAGACTTTGAAAGAATTTGAAAATAGTGATAACAATAAACCACAAGAATGGGGTGCCCCATTGCTCAGTGTTCAAGAGAAGCTGACCAGCCATCCCTGCAGGTTCCTCTCACTGGACAGTATGACTAACCGGACTGGAGACAGAAGGGCACTGCTACACTCCCCACTGCAAGTGCAATTCGCTCACTTACTGTGTATGTGTTTGATCTCTAAGGCAGTAGATAGCAAACAAAGGACAGCTACAAAGAGTCACTAATGTCAAGAATTGCATTTGGCTAAAGAATGTAGTTAACATCCAAAATCTTTACAGAATTCATGAACGAGCTGAAACTCCAACACACTCATTAACCTAACTCTGCAAAGATCAACTTAACTCAAACTCCAAGAAATGACCAACTGCTCTAGATCAAATTATGGTCAATTCGTTTCACCCAAACTATATCTCTACATTTGTGCTGCCAATCTTGAAAATACATGGAATTTTCTGGATTGTAAAAGCTCTGTCAAAACCTCAAATTTCAGCCTTTGGATAGTTGATACTCTCGTTATGCCCATCTGCTTGCTGTCTTTTGGTTTCATTATTATCTGTGTTCAGAAATAAGTCGCCCGAGATTAGTAAAGCCCGCAGTTGTTCCAAGCTTACTTACCCTCTGACCCTCTTTTCCAGGTGGGCCTTGGGGGCCTTGTATCCCCAGGGGACCCTACGAGGACAAAAGGACACATGTTAATAGACCATTGCAAGTACACCTGCCTCACAGAGAATGCTGTGAAAATTAATACCTACTTAATTGGTTAAACAAAACTCTTAAAGTGATTCGAGCTTTTCCAAGGTTAGACTATGTACTATATCAATAAGGATGAATTGTCCTTTTTTGACTGGTTTATCTTTGTAGTTAACTCCAGAAAAGAAAAAAAGGCAATTCCAAGCCAGGTGGCAGGCCCCACGTTCACTCCCGGTGAAGACTCTCATACGATCAGATCCACGTTTCACCAAACTACTATAAATAAATGGTAACAATATTTGCAAGCAGAAAAATATCCCTCTTTATATATTTAAACTCTATAAATACAACTACATTTTTGGTTGAGAGTAGCTCTGTAAGTATCTTCTAAGAAAACACGTGGTTATTTCGTCGGTTTCAACCTGTCTATTCATTAACACTTGATTTACAGTATTACAGACATTAGTTAATACTGTCTTATAACATGGTCAACGGTAGGGAAGATAATCATGTTTTCAGGTCATAATAAAGGCCCAGGAAATCCCAGGTACTGTTAATCTGGAAGTCAAGTCTCCTGATTCTTACAGATAGTTATATTGCATGGGAATTCCAATTCACCATGACACTCAAAATGATGATATTGCTAGTTTTAAAAAAACTTCAGCAGTCATTGCTAAGCTGTTGCCTCTCTGAAAGCTTCTTCTTAGTCCCTCCTGCTGCCTCCTCCTTTCCTATTCAACCTTTAGATGTGAGGGGGATTTAGGCTCCTTTCCTTCCCAGTCCATACAACTCAAGAAACCCATACATGCTCCTCCTAACACTCATGCCAGAAATCTAGAGTTCGTCCTCCATACTTTCTTCTCTCAAACTACCTTTTCACATCCAGTTACCAAGTCTGGGTGATGTATCTCCAAAATATATTTGGTCCATCGATTTCTCTCCATTTATGCTGCTCCCATTCTCACTTCTTGCTTGCTCATCTGTGAGAGCTTCCTAGCTGACACATGACACAGACCCGCCATCCTCCACATCACCGCCAAACTGATCTTGAGAAAACCCAGCCTGAGCTTCCCTGATTTTCCACGTGAAGGGACGGACACCTTGTTTCACAGTCTCACAGTCCCTTGTACTTGTTCTTTAAAGAGCTGATCACAAATTTATTTAAATGATTACTCGTGTAATGATCCGTTTCTCTCAACAGGCTCTAGGAAACACAGTAGAATCTGTGTCTTGTTCATCATGGTATGTACCTATGATGCCTGAGTGAAAAAAATCATATTGGGAAATCAATTCACTCTAATAAAAGTTTTTGGGTAAAAGCAGTAATTTTTCAAAGAGTTCTACAAATATTTATGTTTAACTGATCATATAGTAAATGCCTTAAACGGTTTGGAATAAATGAGAAATCCAGTCATACATAGTCAAACAAATCTAAATTCACCTTCTTTTGTTCTTTTGTTATCCAATTTAAAAATAATTAGGATTCATTTTTATAATATGACCTTTTCCTTTAAAAGTCGTGGCTAACTTTAAACTAAAACATCAGATGTGCTTGTGATGACCTATAATTATTTATTATGTATATATTCATTTTTCTGTTTTTTTCGTAGCAACTACATTTTCATAAATGTCATAACATGCATAATTTCTCCATCTAATTTTATTTTGAATAGAAAAAAGTGATAGGCATATTTTAATTTTTCATTCAGAGACCTTTCATTTGATTAAAGTTGTTAGAATTTAGTATAAATTATTGTAACTAATATTCAAAACTCATTAGTACAAAAAATTCTGCACGAATCACCAATCCTCAGTGTTTCCCCAAGTCTTTTGGACTCCTTCACAAAACACTAATAAAATGTATGTATTTATTACTTTCATTTCTTTTATCTACTTTTGGAACAACTTGATGGTATAGGGACATGTGGATCCTATATTTTATTGATTTAGGCAGAAATAAAAACCAGAGAATGAAAAAAGTGATCAGTTCTGTTTGTTGTTATAGAAAAACACATAACTGAGGAAAGTTGGGTAATTAGGCCAACTTTAGGACGGTAAATTCCTAATGTATATAAGAGAAACAAATGTTGAGATCCAAATATACCAAGTATTAATTACAATATAATCACAGGGAGTTGTATCATTTTTTATAAGACTGACACAATCTTGGCTCTAGATTAAACTCTTCCCTCTTACCCTTAGAAAATTATTATCATTTCATGAATAGTCAAATTTATATATAACATTTTTGCTATCCATCCAAATGCTGACAGCTCTTTCAGTGTTTTTAAACATGAGCTGCTAAAACATCCACACACCAAACATTCATCAAGGGAGTACAATTAATTCCGAGCCACGTATAATAAAAATTCCACTTCCTTTACTAGTTGGAGAAGTTACAAAACAAAAGCCTAAATAATGCAAAAATATTAAACTTTATTTGGAATGTATTCAATGGATTAAAAAATATTTATGAGAACCCTTTGTGTGCGATGTTCATATAGTAAGATAGGGTACACTCACATACACAAACCTACTGATGTGCCTCCTAGAGGTTCATGATTATGAATCCTTCCCCTCCACACCCCCCATTGCTAAGTTTAGGACCCAGCTAGAAATCTGATAAAAAAATTGGAAACTTATTTTTAATCTCCAATGGATTATTCACTATTTGAATTATCCATGACCAGTTTTTAATCCTAGCCACACTACCTTAATGTTCAGAAAGTTCTTGAGCTGTCTTTATTGAATATTAGTTGACATTTACAAAGAGAAATATCAATATTGTCATCAGTAAAACATTGGCCAAACAACTGTAGAAAAATCATATTTTTCCCAAAATAAGAAATTAAAATTTGGGGATGATTCATTATTTACAATTATCTAGCTCACTATTCTTCCCATTTGGTAAATCAAACAGTGGATTTACTTATCACTTACTATGAACATTACAGACATACCTAAACTCCAGCTCACTTGAATTATACTCGGCAGAGCTCAGCATTCATCTCAGAACCCCTCCCACAATTCTTTCCTACTCTGGCCCTGTAAATGCCACTTTGTGTGTACTTAACTGATCCTCTTAGTTGACTATGAGTTCTAGAGGACAGAGGATCATTTTTTCTATCCTCTAACACACTTAGAGAAGAGATAAACAAACACTTAGTAAATTGGATCATAAGAAAGAAAACGCTGGAATAGAATAATACTGGGCGGCGGTGGAGGGCAGCAGGTTTCCGCTGTACATGTAGTCATATATGTTTTCAAAACTTGGACTTGGACTTAAATACCACATGGGAGAGCTTTCAGTCTTGTCTGCATTCCTCATCTAAAGTGATCATTCTATTCTCTGATGTCTAAGAGTAAAATTGCCTTACAGTTCATTTAAGAATTGATAATTTACCACCTATGACATTATCTCTAGTATGGAACTTATTTAAATCTTTGACCAATACTTGACATTTTATAGATTTATGTCATTTTTATAGTTAGAGAATCATATCTTAAGTATCTTTGTGCACATGGCATATTTGCATAATCTGTGCATTATTTTCTTCTTTGATTTAATTTGCTGAAGAATAACGCTTATCCCTTTTTTCTACTTTTTCCATCTATTTAGTCTGCTATGAAAATAACTGTAAAGTGGGTTATTCATAAAATTTCACAAATGTAAAGATTTATTGCTTTTCTGAACGAGAGGCTTGAAAATGTATTTAGGATATTCACTATGTAAACATCTGCATATGTCTATCAGGCATTCATTATTTTTTAGTGGAATTCTGGATATTAAAATTGTTGACCAAGAAAGGCATTCATAAAGCTGTTACCTCTTTTGGCTAGGATAAAAATATGCAAAAATATCCCAGCCAGCTAAACCATTTTCAGTTCCAGTGGATAGCTATTACAGTGTGTTACATTTCACATAGCTCTCTCTGGACAATCTGCTGATTATTTAAGACAGGCTAGAGCTTATCTTCATGGAAGCCCATGTAAATATCTAACTGGGAAATTACTTAGAATTAACTGGCTCAGAACAGAATTTTGAAATGTTTAACAAATATAGCAGATGTTTAGTAGAGTTAATAGGGTAGATTAATTGCATTTGAACACATTTTCATTTGTGATAAGAGGCAAGATACACTCATAACTTCTCAATCAAAGAAAGGAGCTGAAGTAAAAAAGGGAAGTTTCATTTTAAAGTATTATTTGCACACCCTTGCCAGGAATGTTGTAGAACGTATGATACCTAAAACCCACTTCAACAAAAATGTTATGCAAGTAAGTGTATTGTAAGTGTTATGATTGTTGCTTTAGAATATGCTTCATGGACTTGAAACATAAGGCTAAGCAAAATCTGCATAAATTCTTAAAATACCACTAGGGCATTTTCTGTGTTTCAAATAGAGTGTACAAAATTAAAATGGAAGACAGAGTTTATCTGTCTTTATAGAAAATTTCATGCCTTTAATATGAGAACAATGGGAACAAATTTTATAGGTTAGAGACATGAGAACTGAAGACAAAAAGCAAATAAGTAAAAATATAACAGACCTATAGTCCAGTCATGGGAAGCGATTTTCATATTAGTTCTGAGAAGTGGCAGTTAACAATGCTTATGTTAATAAATTAAAGGAATGGCCAGTTTTATGTTATTTCATAGAATTCTCATGACACAAGAAAGATTTTCTCTTAAGGTGTGTAAGTATTCAGAAAAGGAATTCTATGTTACATATCAAAAGCCTATCATTTTATCCTAAGCAGTTGTCAGCGCACACTAAGAAATAGACGTCTTTGAAATAAAGAACAATAGAATTTCTTCCATATACTAAAAAAAGCCCTTACAAACCTTTCCAGTGACACTGACAAGGGAAGATTAGGAAGACCCACCACTAGGAAAGAAAACGCTATGAAGTATTTGTGTGGACAGGAAGGTCTCAGTCACTTTCAGTTACAGCAAACAGGCTCCATGACTGTGTGGA